GTCATTGCCATGACTTTTTCTTTTTGTTGGGTTTGAGTGTTCTATCTCATTTCCCTTTGAGGTTGCTGTAGGTGATCTGGAAGTCTGGTTTTGAGACTTATTTACGTGTTTTCTCATTTTGACTGGGAGGGGGGGCAGTGGGGCTGCTCTTGGCACCCACAGGGCTCACCTTCCCTGAGCTGCGAGATTTGGGACAGAGGCCAGGAGTGGTGGTATGGATGGTGGCCCAGAAGCCCCTTCCTCTGGGCTGGGAGTGGCGGGAGGGATGGTGGCCAAGAAGCCCCTTCCTCTGGAACAGGAGCAGTGGGACAGTGGCTCAGAAGCCCCTACCTCTGGGCTGGTAGCTGCGGGACAGGAGGCAGCCCAAAAGCCCTTTCCTCTGGGCTGGGAGCAGTGTGAGGGATGGTCTGAAATGCTACAATTGAGGAAGTAAAGGCCTCAGTAAAAATTTTCATACAAACACAGGCTAACATACATATATGTTTAGAGATGGCAGTTTACATTATTTTTCTCTAATCAAATGATTTCAACCCAACTTTTAAAAATAGCTTAAACTGTTATACATTAAAATATTATGAATTAAATTTCTAAATAGAAAAACAGAAGTGACAAACTGTAGTTTTTAAAATTGCCCTCCAAATGCTAATAACTTCTATCATGCCATGCCAAATTACTGTGCCTTCTTATGAAGTCAGTAAATTTATACCTAGACATCCTGAAAGTATACTTAACTATAGTCAATTCAATAGCAATTGAGTGTTTGAAAAAGTCTTTTCAGTAATCCAATACTCTGAGTAGGAATAATGAAATAGTATTTCAGTTTTATGTCTGAATGTAATTTAAATCAATTCCTAAATAAAATTTTGCCTTTGTAGCTTTTAAAGAGGGCTCTAACCTAGAATCAGCAGCAACACAGCCAGTATGTCAGTCAACTAGTTCTCATAAGATATCCCAGGCAGCTCAGTATATTTACTCTTCTTTAAAGCTAAACTGAAAACATGAACAGACTCATAGTGGACTCTGATATCAAATTTTCCAGGTTCAAATGGTAAGATATGCAAAAACATTAAGCATGTCATTTATGTTGTCATACATTATCATTAAATTAGCAAAGCAAGTTATTTTTTTGCTTTAGCTGTTTGAAATTGTGAAATTATTCAACTCTAAATCTTCTGCTCTCCTGGCTGCTTGTCTTCCCCTGAGAGAAGAAAAACACCAAACATCAAGCTTTAGTCTTTAGCAGTTCACACCCAATTTTCAATTTTAGCAAAAAAATAAAATAAAAGGAAGAACAGGAAGCTTTAAACATTTATAAACCTACTCACAATTTGAAATCCTTGAAGATCAAAACACTAAATTATATTAAATTTTAAAACCTAACAGTTTCACAAAAGTATAATCATAGAACTCAAAAGACATCTCAAATTATAACATTAATCCACTTAGCTACCTTATTCTAGAGGAGGCAAAGATTAGTAAAGCAAGGAAACATTTAATAAAATAAAATAAGAGGTTATGAATTCAATAACACAGGACTTCTAGTGACACATATGCCACTCTGTAATGATGTTACTTAAAGGTTGTTTGAAGGATACATATGTGAGCAGCTCAAAATTGTAATGCAACTGAACCATTGTCTACACTGCCCTTTTAGATATTAAGATAATGGCTCAAATTACCTTTGATCTTGTTATAGATCATGCTCAGTTTTTCAAGAAAAAATGTAGAAAACAGTGCTAACTAGTAGTCCTGATGTGGTCTCTTTGTGTAAAAGGAAAGCTATGAAGAGACAGGAAATAAGCAGTGCAGAGGATAACGGCTAATAGAATAATGTCAAAATATGGATAAAATCATAACCAATTCCAAAGGAAAAATGCCAATAAAAACAGATTAAGAAAATATACCTTTATGAAATAAAAATACACAAAAAAATATAAAAAAGCAGGTCCCAATTATTTACTGTTGCACTACAAGCTACCTCAAAGTCAAGTGGTTTAAAATAATAACTACTGTCCTACACTTGAAGACTTTGTGGGTCAGGACCTGTACGAGTTCAGTGGCGAGTCTTCTTTCGATGTTGTGCTGGCAGCCATCATGTACGAGGGCTTGAACTGCTAAAGGGGTCCCTAGATGGCCTCCACAGCAGGGTGGGCTTCTCATGGTGTGGTTCAGTTTTCAAGGATGAACATTCTAGCAAACAAAGTAGAAGCTGCATCAGCTTTCACAGGTGGAGTTTGGAAACTGTATAGCATCCTCTCTGTCACAATTAGTGAAAATAGCCACAAAACACCAAGGATTGAGGATGAATCTAAGTCAAAGCATTTGTAGCCACATTGTACAATTTTGAATTCAGAATTCCATTGGTCATACTGATTCAAAATTCTGAGGCAGTAAATAAACTCATTTATCCACTTTGACATATTCATATATGTTCAGAGACGATAACTTCTAGAAAACAGCTAGGCATCAAGTAGGAGAATCAATGAGTAGAATATGACATTCTGAGCAGTAAATCACTCATAAGCAATATTTGGAAGGAGCTATTAGAACAGAAACAGTAACATGTGCTGGAAATCGTACTCAGTTATTCATTTGTCAAACCAACATGTAGACAGTGTCTACCATTTCCTGAGTCCTGACATAACACTGCAGAAGTTGGGACAGATCTCTACCCTCACTGCTTGGAGAAGTGGATACCAGAAGGCAGGAGGAGGGCAGGGTGGCACTTGGCAGAGCCCAGTAATCAGCACATGTAGCATAGCATAGTGGCTTTACTGTTATTGCAGAATGAAAGTGTGACGCCATGGAAACTACACAGTCTCACTGTGGACAAATCCAGGTTTAGAAAAGACTCACTTCATTTCAGAATGAATAGAGAAAAAACAGTAAAATTAACACTCCACAATAAAATCTAATAAGATGACTATAAGAATCTACAGATAGCTAGATCAATTGGGAACATAAAATTTTAAGATGCCAAATAAAATATTATCAAATAAAGTTATTCAACATATTAAAGAGAATTATACTAAGATGAAGTTATATTTCAAAGAACAGGTTGGTTTAACAATTTTATAAACATCATTCTTGATGTACCATAACAGAAAAAAATAAACACATGATCATTTCAATAGCTGAAGAAATTGCATGTGCTAAAATTTAGCATCCGTTCAGAAAGAAAAGGGAATTTCTTCATTTGACAAATGATAGTCACAAGAATAATAATAAAATAACACTACAACCAATATCAATCTTAGTGGTAAAATGTTCACAGATTTTTCTGTGCAGTTGAGAACAAGATCTCACTATATGCATTCAGTAGTGCACTAAGAAACAAAAGATAAATAAAAGTGTTAGAACTTGAAAGGAAGAAATAAAACTGCCATTATTCAGATTATGTATAAGAACTTTCAAGAAGAAATAAACTCTCCATTTGTCGATTATGTGATTATATACAATAAAATCTACTAGTGTGTACTACCACGAAGAGTATTTATTGAATATGAGTGAATGTAGAAAAATTAATTGCATAATGAGCAAAAAAAATAGAAAATAATTTTAAGATATCCTTCAAATATCATCTGAAATATCAAGTACTTAAAAGAAATTTAAAAGGTATATAAAATGGGCTGAGGCAAAAAAAAAAAAAGTAAAACATTATTGAGAGAACACCTAAATAAAAAGTAATGCAGTACTCATGGATTATGATACTTGCTTGCAATATCCCTTCCCAAATTTATCTATTAATTCCATATGATTCCAGCCAGAGATCCATAGGTTTTTATGAAATTGAACAAGATAATTTGATATTAATATAAAAATTAAAATGGAAGAAAATATAGCTAAGACAATTTTTTAAAAGGACAAAGCAAGATAACTAAGTGCTAAGACATTATAAATGTAGTATAGTTAAAATAATGTGGAATAAAAACTAGAATATGCAAACAGACAAAAATATTAGAATCAACTATTCAGAAACATATCCACATATTTATTTTCTTAAGGAGAGAAAAAGAGTGGGGAGGGAAGGAGAGAAGAGAGAGAAAGAAAGAGAGGGAGAGAGACAGACCTGTGCTATACATAGTGGTGAAGAGAGGGTAATCTTCTCAACAGATGGTTCTGGGAGAAATTACCTAAAATGTAAAACAAATTGAACTTGAAACATATTTCATCCCATTCACAAAAGCAACTTCTAGCAAGACTGATGCTCTTAATGTGAAAGAGAAAACTATAAAGCTCTTAAGAATATAAAGGAAAATACTGTATGTTCATGACTTTGGAGTAAGGAATGACTATTAAAACTGGAAGCAGACATGGATATAAAATGAATTGATGAACTACACTATAATACATCCATCCATAGGTGCATGGATCTCACCAATTCACACCAGAAATTATCCTAAAAGACAAGTCAACCAGTTAAACATCTGCAACACATACAACTGACAAAATGTCATTCATTTTACAAAAAACAAAAATGATAAATAACCAGATAAATTGAATGACACCAAATTGTTACTTAATAAAAGATCATTCCTAATAGAAATAAACATACAATATTTAAAAGCACTGAAACACATCAATAACTAGAAAAGTGTAAATTTAAAGGGTAATATAACCCTACCACATGTGCATAAGGAAAAAAAAAACTGAAAGACTGACAACACCAAGTGTTGCTTAGGATGTGCAGGAACTGAAGCTCCCACTCATGGATGGTGCATATTTAAATTGGTAGCTCTTTTTAAAGACATTGATTTTATTTACTATGGTTGAAAATACAGATAATTTAATTAGATATCTTGTAGGCAGTTAGACAGGGCCAGCCCATGAGATGCCAATGTGGAGGACAGCAGAGGAGCCAAAATGGAGGACAATCAAGACACATTCACTGAAAGCCAACACTGAAAAGAAGAGAAACTACTACACCCCCCTAGCATGAATAGCAGTGATTGATATTCTGAATAGCTATCAGTCACCTGGGTGAGGGACCAATATCTTCCAAGAAAGATCCCTGACCCATCCCTTACCACTGAAAATCCTTGCTCAATCCTTCTATGCTTGCTGAGTGACTTTGACTTGTTTCCCCATTGGATCCCCATTTAATCAATATTACCTAACTGACTATACTTGTCATAACCTTATTTATGGTTCATAGTTTTGTCCCTCTTGTGATTTCTCACTAGATCAATATTACCTAAGCAACTATACTTGGAATCTCATTAGTTGACTGTAGTTTTGTCCTACCTTGAACCTGACTCACCTCATGGCTTTGTCCCATAAAACACCTTTGGGAAATTGGGTGAGTTGGTGCCCCCCTTCTGTCTTAGACAGAAGTTTTCTTTCTCTCAATAAATTTTTTCCTACTCTTAAAAAAAATGAAAAAAAGAAAATATACCTATGAACCATCAACCCCTTCCCTAACATGTACATATGTACATTTAAAAATATCATAAAAATTTATATCAGAATGGTTCATGACCAAAACTAACTAAATAAAACATACTATGTGCCATTTATAAAAAGCTCAAAGGCAAGTAAGATTTGTTTTAGAAATGCAGACTTTTAAGACTAAATATGAAAGCAAATAAATTTGGTGATCATGAAAGTCAGAATACAAATGAGTCTGAGGAAATACACACAGAAATTATGAGGATAAAGCTCACTGATAGAACATTAAGTTATGCACATTTGTTTGGCAATACATCTTTAATATATTAACTTCAAAAGAAAAAGAAAAAGGAGAGATGATAATACGAACATTAAAAACAAAAATATCTCACTGCAAACATATTTTGTAAGATGTTGGGTGATAATGTCAAGTCAAAAACAAAAGGCATGTTTAATGTGAATACATCACAGCCATTTCAAGTAACACAATATAAATCCTGTCTATAATAACTGAAATTTCTTTATTATTGGAAGTTTTACTGTATTATAATTTTAAAGCTACCCTCAAAATAGATTAGAATTAAAAAAGAATATCTGCTCTGATACAATGTTTATAGAGATATTGAATAAAATTATGGAAGGTCATAAAATGAGCAAAAGCCAGGAATTTAGCTCAGTGGTTCCGCTGCCTGCCTTGCAAACACAAGGACCCAAGTTCAATGCCCGGTAACAAAAAAATACTACTAAATAAAATAAAATAAGGAGCATGAATGTCAAAAATTAAGAATCAGAGTTATCATTTATCATATGTTCTCCATAATATGTGAAATCTAAAAGACATTCATTGGATTGCCTACTTAAAAAACTTAAGAGATAGAGTCACCCGCAGCACCCAGGAAGATCCTTCCGGGCTGCAATATCACTGCCCCCAATGTGAAGAGCAGAGCCACCCACAGTGTGGAGAAGGTGAGCCACGTGGGTGCCAGCAGCACACACCCCTCCACCCACCTGCATTGAAATGAGAAAAAATGTCAAGGAAGCTCTCCCACCACCATTCCACACTCCTAGGGCAGAGAAGTTGAGCCAGTCCAAGCACCCAGAAGGAAGCTTCCCCACCACCATTCCATGCTCCTAGGGCAGAGAAGGTGAGCTGTGCAGGCACCAGAAGTGCACCCCCACACACACGTGGAAATAAGAAGACAAATAAACAAGCCTCAAAAACAGACTTCCAGATCACCTACAGCAACCTCAAAGGGAAACGAGATGGAACAATCTGATACTCAACCACCTGGACTCTCTGAACTGGCAACAATAGAGGATCTGGGAAAAATGAAATCAGAAA